AGTGGACGCAAGTGCGTCTGGTGCGTCTACCTGGAGGCCTACAGTGGACGCAAGTGCGTCTGGTGCGTCTACCTGGAGGCCTACAGTGGACGCAAGTGCGTCTATCTGGAAGCCTACAGTGGACGCAAGTGCGTCTTCCTGGAGGCCTACAGTGGACGCAAGTGCGTCTACCTGGAGGCTTACAGTGGACGCAAGTGCGTCTGGTGCGTCTTCCTAGAGGCCTACAGTGGACGCAAGTGCGTCTTAAGGGTCTGAAAGTTAACCTTATCCCCTCCTCAACCTTTCACACTGCATAATCCAATACACTGGAGTCTATTGTCCGCAAGTAAGTCGTTTACAAAGTAGCAGTGAGGACCCTAGAACTGACCCTCAGTGTGATCCCAACTTCTCATCGTCGAAATATGATGAGTTATATAATTTATGATGATAATCTCTTACCAGAAAAAAGTGTATGAACACAGACTAAGTCATTGGTCAACTATCAACAATATCAACATGTCTGCTCCCCGAATTCTCCCGTTGAAGATAGCATCTAAGATCATATTTTTAAGATGACTTACAGTTGTGGTCAGAATTATAAATTAACATCTTTTAGGTCATTAAGAGAAATGGTTAATATATTAGTAAAGCGACAAGTGAATCGTCTATTGTCTTTCGAGAAAGAAAAAAATAGGACTTGAAATTGAGCATAATTTAAATTCAAAATATAATTTCATTCACCAGTATGATTAAATAGCAATTCCTTAATGCCCTTTTGGACTAAGGTAGTTCCCAATATCCCAATTACCACTCTTCCGGAATTCCATCGTCTGTCCAAAGCTAATTGGCATAGTTTAATGAATCCCTAACGAGCGTGATTCCTTAGGAAGTTTGGTGCTACGAAACCACTCGGTCTCAAACTGATCAATCGTAAATGATTATAAAACTAATTGCAGTCGTAAACGTTCAATTTAATTTATGTAGACTAGCTCACTTTTATGCAGCCCTACGTACTTTTATAGTTAGATCGGGTAATTTATATTGCTACTCAATTATTTAGAAAACCTGAAGGTGGGTCCAGTAATACTAATTAATGAAATACTTGAAGGTAGAGAATTACAACTTTTTCAATCACTAGTATATTAATTAAACTAAGCTTTTAAAAATTAAAATTAAATTAAACTGCCTATACTTAATTAAACTAAGCTAGAATTATGAAGGCACAATTATTTATTATTAAATAATGCAAGACAACTAATTTTTTAATATAAACATGAACTTCACATATTACTTTACCGAGCCAAATTGGGACAATAATTTTATGAACCAAGTACTAGCTGAATAATCGGTATTAATACAAATTGTCTGTTAATTGCTAAGCGCTTACGGAAGAATTGAGAGAAATTTGCATTCTTCGTTTTCTAAGTAATATCTTCTATATTAAAAATTATTGGATAATCTTATCAAATTTATCGTATTTAAATTCACCTCATTGTGTTATACACATTGTTGTAATTTGTCTTGAAGGTATTCAGGCCAACAGTACCAAATACTAGGCCGAATATATATATAACAGCTCTGATACAGATCAAATATAACGTATTTTTACACCACATTTCAGAATAACAATTTCAGACCCCCATAATATATATGGTATTCTTGACGCCATGTGTGACCTGAATCATTCTTTTAAAGTTAATTCATATCATGAATAGAGTTACAATCAAGCTTTTAAACCCTAAAGAAATATCACGAGAATAAAAATAGATTGTGATAATTTAATAAAAGAAGCAAATATTAACTAATGTACTGAATTGGGAACACAAACATTTTAATCTATCAGATTTTGAAAAATATCATTTACACCAAATTTACGTAGTAATTTTTTCAAACTGATCTTCTAAATGAAAGGTACAAGGGTTTAAAAAAAAAAAAAAACTATTACAAATTTTCATCTCCAACCAACTTTGTAATGTCATGGGAGACAACGTCCCTGAAAAGGGTGCAACAGGGCCGATCTCGACCCAAATTTATTAGTTTCAACATCCTAACCAATCACTATGTAAAGTTTATTGAGGTTATCCGCAAGTGTTTGGCCTCCAATAATTGGTAGACAAACAAGCAGACATCCGAATAGTGAGTGTGAGTGTGTTGGAGTGTGTGAGTGTGTGTGTGTGTGTGTGTGTGAGTGTGTGTGAGTGTGTGTGTGAGTGTGTGTGTGTGTGTGGTGTGTGTGTGGTGTGTGTGTGGGTTGTGTGTGTGTGTGTGTGTGTGTGTGTGTGTGTGTGTGTGTGTGTGTGTGTGTGGTGTGTGTGTGTGTGTGGTGTGTGTGTGTGTGTGTGTGTGTGTGTGTGTGTGTGTGTGTGTGTGTGTGTGTGTGTGTGTGTGTGTGTGTGTGCTCACCTAGTTGTACTCACCTAGTTGTGTCTGCAGGATCGAGCATTGACTCTTGGATCCCGCCTTTCGAGCATCGGTTGTTTACAGCAATGACTCCTGTCCCATTTCCCTATCATACCTGGTTTTAAAATTATGAATAGTATTTGCTTCCACAACCTGTTCCTGAAGTGCATTCCATTTTCCCACTACTCTCACGCTAAAAGAAAACTTCCTAACATCTCTGACTCATCTGAGTTTCAAGCTTCAATCCATGTCCTCTCGTTCTGTTACTATTCCGTGTGAACATTTCGTCTATGTCCACTCTGTCAATCCCTCTGAGTATCTTATACGTTCCTATCATGTCCCCCCTCTCCCTTCTTCTTTCTAGTGTCGTAAGGCACAGTTCCCTCAGGCGCTCCTCATACCCCATCCCTCGTAGCTCTGGGACGAGTCTCGTTGCAAACCTCTGAACCTTTTCCAGTTTCATTATATGCTTCTTCAGATGGGGACTCCATGATGAGGCGGCATACTCTAAGACTGGCCTTACGTAGGCAGTGTAAAACGCCTTGTGTGTGGTGTGTGTGGTGTGTGTGGTGTGTGTGTGTGTGTGGTGTGTGTGTGGTGTGTGTGTGGTGTGTGTGTGGTGTGTGTGTGGTATGTGTGTGTGTGGTATGTGTGTGTGTGGTATGTGTGTGTGTGTGGTGTGTGTGTGTGTGTGTGGTGTGTGTGTGGTGTGTGTGTGTGGTGTGTGTGTGTGTGTGTGTGTGTGGTGTGTGTGTGTGGTGTGTGTGTGTGGTGTGTGTGTGTGGTGTGTGTGGTGTGTGTGTGTGGTGTGTATGTGTGGTGTGTGTGTGTGTGTGGTGTGTTGTGTGTGTGTGTGTGTGTGTGTGTGGTGTGTGTGTGTGTGTGTGTGTGTGGTGTGTGTGTGTGGTGTGTGTGGTGTGTGTGTGTGGTGTGTGGGTGTGTGTGGGTGTGTGTGTGTGTGTGTGTGTGTGTGTGTGTGTGTGTGTGTGTGTGTGTGTGTGTGTGTGTGTGTGTGTGTGTGTGTGTGGGTGTGTGTGTGTGTGTGTGTGGTGTGGTGTGTGTGTGTGGTGTGTGTGTGTGGTGTGTGTGTGTGGTGTGTGTGGTGTCAATTTTAATGACTGACTCTTAGAGCTGTAACACCTTGACTTACTATTAATATTGTGTTGCTACACCTGTACCAAAAACTTACAAGTGATGACAAATATGGCAGACACGTGAGCGAGAAGGTTATATTAAGGCGGTTTGTGTAGTGGACCAGGAACGTGGAGGGTAATGCAAGGTGTGTGTCATCTTAACTGCCTCTCTTGTAACACCTGCCAAGAAGCAATTTACCAAACACCTCGTGAGAGAGGAAACAGAAATGTGCGAGGAAAAGGTTTTGCGGAAATTAAAGTTGTATAAAAAAATAGTGTGGTTTTTTCTCGATAAACTTAGGTGCTGTGAAGTATTTAATATATTTCTCAATTCTGTTTCCTTATGTTGGCATTGATATACCAGCCTTCATTTACTAAGATAAGGGAAGGGTGTGGTTTTGACGCGACAAAGAAGTGCTTTTGGGGATAAAAGGCAGATACCTTTTATACAGTTTATAGCTAACAATACAGTTTTGGCAATAAAAATGCTCTTGGGCATAACTTGAAAAAAACCCTCGATTGGCCAAGAATAACACAAATTAAGCGTACTGTATTTCCATTTGTGCGAGTACTGTGGTTTTGTTAGACCACGGAGCATTATCCCCTCCGATTTTGCCCCCACCCCTTCTGCTTGTAAATGAGGCCGAGAAGGTAAATCAAATACAAAAGGTGGGTCCGATTGAGATTTTTATGATATAGAGATTACGGAAAAAATTAGCATTAACTGCATTGTTGACGGTGTGTTGAACCCGGATTCACAGGAAAAAAAATCTGGTACGAAATATTCACATAAATCTACGCTACATACGTTTGTGTTTCATTTGAAATAACACAAACAATATTGTTATGATGCCAAAGAGATGAATTTATAAACAATAAATTTTCTCAACATTGTGTATAGGCCACTAATATTTTAATAGTCTTTTCTAATGTTTCATGAACTGGTTTATTCTCCACAATATTAATGTTCTATTATTGCTTTACTGTAATGGTTCATACTTTGATCCTGAGTTTTATTTATAGCAATGTACAAGATATGTTTTACCATATACATGGTAAATATATTTAATATTCCGGACTGAAATAATTGTGCACATTTTGTACTATAATATTTCTTTCATATAACGCAGTCCACTCTTAGTTCCTATTCCTATTCCTATTCTTAGTTCCTATTCCTTAGTTCCTAAAGGAAGTTCCTATTCCTTTGCCAATTATCGTGAATATACTAGAAAGACGTTTGATTCTTCACTTGGTCTGGATTCTGGGAACTATGAAATTACCTCAAACGCATATTTTGTTTATAAGACATAAATCAAGTGGCAGAGTTCATGTGTTCAGATTTGCGAAGGAATTGAGAATGAAACGTTTCGCTAACACGCAGTGGTAATATATATCAGGTGTTTTATCAGGTGACAAGAGTAATAACAATGGGTGATTATTTTGGGGTACGAGTCCAATTGGTGATGGGCAGGAGCCCGCTGGTAACCTTCACAAGGACTGTGTGTCACCCTGAAGACCAGGAGGGGATGGACTAGTGTCACCCTGAAGACCAGGAGGTGATGGACTAGTGTCACCTTGAAGACCAGGAGGTGATGGACTAGTGTCACCCTGGAGACCAGGTGTTGATGCACTAGTGTCACCCTGAAGACCAGGTGTTGATGCACTAGTGTCACCCTGGAGACCAGGAGTTAGACTAGTGTTACCCTGAAGACCAGGAGTTGGACTAGTGTCACCCTGAAGACCAGGAGTTGATGGACTAGTGTCACCCTGGAGACTAGGAGTTGATGGACTAGTGTCACCCTGAAGACCAGGAGTTGGACTAGTATCACCCTGAAGACCAGGAGTTGGACTAGTGTCACCCTGAAGACCAGGTGTTGATGCGCTAGTGTCACCCTTAAGACCAGGTGTTGATGGACTAGTGTCACCCTGGAGACCAGGTGTTGATGGACAAGTGTCACCCTGGAGACCAGGTGTTGATGGACAAGTGTCACCCTGGAGACCAGGAGTTGGACTAGTGTCACCCTGAAGACCAGGTGTTGATGCACTAGTGTCACCCTTAAGACCAGGTGTTGATGCACTAGTGTCACCCTTAAGACCAGGTGTTGGAGAACTGGTGACAACACGAAGACTAAATGTAGAAATGGTGAAAATATTAACACGAAACCCAATTTCTAATGTGTGCTTGAAGAATGTGAAAAAAAAAATCATAATAATTTTTGCAATAGGTTCCTAGTTTTATCATTCCCTGCATGTTGCGTGCGTTAATAAGCGCCGTCCATAAGAAATGAATTCTTGAACTCTGGATCAGACGCTAAATTCGTAACAATTTGTACAAATCTCTACAGGTGTAGACGAGTACAAGTCTTTACAGGTGTAGACGAGTACAAGTCTTTACAGGTGTAGACGAGTACAAGTCTTTACAGGTGTAGACGAGTACAAGTCTTTACAGGTGTAGACTTGTACAAGTCTTTACAGGTGTAGACTTGTACAAGTCTTTACAGGTGTAGACTTGTACAAGTCTTTACAGGTGTAGACTTGTACAAGTCTTTACAGGTGTAGACGAGTACAAGTCTTTACAGGTGTAGACGAGTACAAGTCTCTACAGGTGTAGACGAGTACAAGTCTCTACAGGTGTAGACGAGTACAAGTCTCTACAGGTGTAGACGAGTACAAGTCTCTACAGGTGTAGACGAGTACAAATCTCTACAGGTGTAGACGAGTACAAATCTCTACAGGTGTAGACGAGTACAAGTCTTTACAGGTGTAGACGAGTACAAGTCTTTACAGGTGTAGACGAGTACAAGTCTTTACAGGTGTAGACGAGTACAAGTCTTTACAGGTGCAGACTTGTACAAGTCTTTACAGGTGTAGACGAGTACAAATCTCTACAGGTGTAGACGAGTACAAGTCTCTACAGGTGTAGACGAGTACAAGTCTCTACAGGTGTAGACGAGTACAAGTCTCTACAGGTGTAGACGAGTACAAGTCTCTACAGGTGTAGACGAGTACAAGTCTCTACAGGTGTAGACGAGTACAAATCTCTACAGGTGTAGACGAGTACAAGTCTTTACAGGTGTAGACGAGTACAAGTCTTTACAGGTGTAGACGAGTACAAGTCTTTACAGGTGTAGACGAGTACAAGTCTTTACGGGTGTAGACGAGTACAAGTCTTTACAGGTGTAGACGAGTACAAATCTCTACAGGTGTAGACGAGTACAAGTCTTTACAGGTGTAGACGAGTACAAGTCTCTACAGGTGTAGACGAGTACAAGTCTCTACAGGTGTAGACGAGTACAAGTCTCTACAGGTGTAGACGAGTACAAATCTCTACAGGTGTAGACGAGTACAAGTCTTTACAGGTGTAGACGAGTACAAGTCTTTACAGGTGTAGACGAGTACAAATCTCTACAGGTGTAGACGAGTACAAGTTTTTACAGGTGTAGACGAGTACAAGTCTTTACAGGTGTAGACGAGTACAAATCTCTACAGGTGTAGACGAGTACAAGTCTTTACAGGTGTAGACGAGTACAAATCTCTACAGGTGTAGACGAGTACAAATCTCTACAGGTGTAGACGAGTACAAATCTCTACAGGTGTAGACGAGTACAAATCTCTACAGGTGTAGACGAGTACAAATCTCTACAGGTGTAGACGAGTACAAATCTCTACAGGTGTAGACGAGTACAAGGGGAAATGGGACAGAACACATTTAAATAAAAAATATCTTGCCTCATCCTTCCACACCCCCCCCCCCCTCCACTTTTCCAATATGTTCAATACATATATACACACATCTCCTTCCTTTGACAACTGGCGTCACGCTGACGCACGCAAATCTTTCGACAAAAAAGCATCGGGTGAAAAAGTAATTTTTTCTTTCAATAAAGTCATAGTTTTTTTTCTGGCGTTCATAGGTCACTGGTTCCTGTCTGTGTGTTCGTGTGTGTGTGTGTGTGTGTTCGTGTGTGTGTGTGTGTGTGTGTGTGTTCGTGTGTGTGTGTTCGTGTGTGTGTGTTCGTGTGTGTGGTGTGTGTGTGGTGTGTGTGTGTGTGTGTTCGTGTGTGTGTGTGTGTGTGTGTGTGTGTGTGTGTGTGTGTGTTCGTGTGTGTGTGTTCGTGTGTGTGTGTTCGTGTGTGTGTGTTCGTGTGCGTGTGTGTGTGTGTGTATACTCACCTATTTGTGCTTGCGGGGGTTGAGCTTTGGCTCTTTGGTCCCGCCTCTCAACCGTCAAACAACTGGTGTACAGATTCCTGAGCCTATTGGGCTCTATCATATCTACACTTGAAACTGTGTATGGAGTCAGCCTCCACCACTTCACTTCCTAATGCATTCCATTTGTCAACCACTCTGACACTAAGAAAGTTCTTTCTAATATCTCTGTGGCTCATTTGGGCACTCAATTTCCACCTGTGTCCCCTAGTGCGTGTGCCACTTGTGTTAAATAACCTGTCTTTATCTAATGAATCAATTCCTTTGAGAATCTTGCATGTAGTGATCATGTCCCCTTTAACGAAATTGAATAGACACTGATTTTTTCAGTGTCAGTAGTTAACAAATGGAATGCATTAAATAAAGATGTGGTGGAGGCTAACTCCATACACAGTTTCAAATGTAGATATGATAGAGCCCAATAGGCTCAGGAACCTTTACACCAGTTGATTGACTGTTAAGAGGCGGGACCAAAGAGCCAAAGCTCTACCCTCGCAAGCTCAACTAGGTGAGTACAACAAGGGGAGTACACACACACACACACACACACACACACACACACACACACACACACGAACACACACGAACACACACACACACACACACGAACACACACACGAACACACACACACACACGAACACACACACACACACGAACACACACACACACACACGAACACACACACACAAAACACACACACAACACACAACACACACACGAACACACACACACACGCGAACACACACACACGCGAACACACACACACACGAACACACACACACGAACACACACACACACACACACGAACACACACGAACACGCACACACACGAACACACACACACACGAACACGAACACACACGAACACACACACACGAACACACACACACGAACACACACACACACACACACACACACACACACGCACACACTACACACACACAACACACAACACACAACACACACACACACACACAAACACACACACGAACACACACACACACGAACACACACACACACACACGAACACACACACACGAACACACACACACGAACACACACACACGAACACACACACACGAACACACACACACGAACACACACACACACACACACACACACACACACACACACACACACACACACACACACACACACACACACACACACACACACACACACCTGGGAAAACATGCAACATGCTGAAGTGAATAAAAAGTGGAAACTTTAAACTGGTCGTTATGTTAAACGTGGTATCGTTCCCCCAGGCGGTCGTCGGGACCTGAGACAGGCGACACACGAGACGGTAACGCGACAGTCCCAGTCACACTGTCCTTGGAGAACTCTGTACAGGACCCCAACATCACTCTCCATACACCTAAGGTAATGTTTCATACACCTAAGGTGATGGTATGTCTGTGTGTCCACCTCTCTCTTGATGTTCACGTTGAAATGCTTCCATGTATTGTCCTCTCTCTATCCTCCCTCTCTCTCTCTATCCTCCCTCCCTCCCTCTCTATCCTCCCTCCCTCCCTCTCTATCCTCCCTCCCTCCCTCTCTATCCTCCCTCCCTCCCTCTCTATCCTCCCTCCCTCCCTCTCTATCCTCCCTCCCTCCCTCTCTATCCTCCCTCCCTCCCTCTCTATCCTCCCTTCCTCCCTCTCTATCCTCCCTCCCTCTCTATCCTCCCTCCCTCTCTATCCTCCCTCCCTCTCTATCCTCCCTCCCTCTCTATCCTCCCTCCCTCTCTATCCTCCCTCCCTCTCTATCCTCCCTCCCTCTCTATCCTCCCTCCCTCTCTATCCTCCCCCTTCTCTCTATCCTCCCCCTCTCTCTATCCTCCCCCTCTCTATCCTCCCTCTCTTCCTCTAGAATAATGCAAGAAAGGGAAGCACATTAGCTATACTGATGTGCGAGGATATCACATCAAGAAATAAGTTTTCATTATGTTCTTATCCACGTGCAGCATCCACCATTCCACATACAGTGATTCACGTGCTTCAACTCCACGTTCGACATATCCTCCTCCTCCTCCTCGTTCATCACCACCTTATCCACGTGCCTCACTTCCTCTCATATTCGTGGCTTATCCACCATCCACGTTCCACATCCCCTCATTCAAATGCATTCTGCAACAAGGTGTCCAATCAGCCCCAGCTCACCCGGTCATCGTGACATAGGAATTTATTACATTCAACTACAACAAAAGCTATTTTATTATCATCGTGCAACACGCTCGATCAACGAGTGATATGATCAGCTGCTGACGAAGAGCAAAAATAACCTTAAAATTCACAATGAAATCACTTGAGTAATGAATCAGTAAGAAAATATTGAAACCATGCAAATGACTCGAACACTCATCCCAAGAATCCCCCTTCATGGGCTCATCATGGCTGAGTCTGTAGCGCGTGTGCTTTAGAAGGCCAGGTTTGAGGGATTCGAACCCATCATACGACCTGGGGACTCCAAAGATACGGGTTCGAACCGAAAGCAAAACCTCAATATTATCCCATCACAAAATTGTAAATATTATTGCGACAATGAGTATTTTTTTTCTCTGTGATAAGGAAACAAGAGCCAAATAACTTCGTTAACCGGAGTGCACGACCACGCATCTGATGGTAATGTTGCAACATCAATGACCAGTCAATGATGGGAACGTTGCATGGTATAAATACCTGTATTGGCTTTGACTGCACTGACGCCCACTGCAATATAGATCACTCAAAGTGATCAAATGTTATTTGCTTCGACTGTGAGAGTTGATGTATACTGTAAGCGAGAGTATCAAACGAGTTGATTTGTACTGCAAGCCAGATTAGTAACGAGCGAGTTGGCCTGTTCTATAAGCCAGATTTAGTAACAAACGAGTTCATCTGAACTGTAAGATATATTTGTAATGAGCGAGTTGACCTGTACTGCAAATGAGATTAGTAACGAACGAGTTATCTGTTTTCTAAGCGATATTAGTAACGGACGAGTTGATATTCACACTAAGCGAGTAGTAACGAACGAGGTGATCCCAATCAGCAATTGCAGCGAGCGTGTTGATCTACTCTAAGAATAATAACGAAGAAAATACGAAATGTGCCATAAATCCTTGCAAGGTACACGTTTAGGTGAGGTTAGTATTATATATCTGCTTACGTGACTGACAGAGGAGGCTCAAGATCCTCCTCATAGATTGAGAAGGATCTTGAATACAAGCTCAAGATCCTTCTAATAGATTGTTTACCTAATAGGTGGGAGATGTGTCGTAGCATCCTGATGATAGGTAAGAGACGTGAACCTTTTTTTCTTAGTGGGAGGGATAAAAATACACACATTTAAGCAGTGTGACGGCATTTTATGCCGTCGTAAAGTATTACAGAAAAAGTGATGAGCCAAAGCTGCCTCCATTATTTCACTGAATGCTTCAATAACATACTGGTCTTGCATGTTCTATACTAAAACATTTAAACATTACCATTTTAGGTAACGTATTTAACACTGAATGGATGCACATTGGAATCATTGCGTCACACCATATCTAATATTTTGTCTCGAATTTCAGAATGACTGCGATCTGGCTGTACAGGAGAGCAGAGTCGAGTTACTGTTTAACCTTGGACGAGTAAGGGGAATCTTAGGAAACTTCGGACGTGACCACCTACATACACCACCGACAAATGTATGCCTAAAATGAGTTCTCTCTCTTGAATCATCTGAAAACACTGCTCAAGATGGCGATCCTCAAGCTGAATGCGAACGAGACTCTTCCAGTCTTCGTCGAGTCAGACCTCAACATTTCGGGACTTGAAGAGGAAACTCGCTATCTTGATGATGATGACTGGAACTTTGATATCGAAATGCCCATCTGGGAGATAGTGATGACGGTGGTGTCTCTGACCGTCATCATCATATTCACCGTAGTCGGCAACGTCCTCGTCATCCTGTCTGTGTTCACGTACCGACCGCTCAGGATTGTACAGAATTTCTTTATCGTGTCTCTGGCTGTGGCCGACCTGACGGTGGCGGTCTTCGTGCTGCCCTTCAACGTCGCCTACAGCATCATAGGCAAGTGGATATTCGGAATGTACCTGTGTGAGATGTGGCTCACCTGCGATATCATGTGCTGCACGGCGTCGATCCTCAACCTGTGCGCCATCGCCCTCGACCGCTACTGGGCCATCACCGACCCCATCAACTACGCCCAGAAGCGGACCCTGAAACGCGTGCTCATCATGATCACTCTGGTGTGGACCATCAGCGTTATCATCTGCCTGCCGCCACTCTTCGGCTGGAATGACTGGCCGGAGAAGTTCACGAAAGAGACGCCCTGCATACTAACGCAGGAGAGAGGGTTCGTGATATATTCCTCCTCCGGGTCCTTCTATTGCCCGCTTTTAATCATGACGCTGGTATATATTAAAATTTTCACAGCCACACGGCGGAGGCTTCGTGAGCGCGCCAAAGCCTCCAGACTCAACCAAATACCAAACACCGGGAAGACCAGAGTCCCCCGGGAGGAGGACTCGGCAGTTAGCGAGAACGGCCAGAATGGATACAACGACAGCTGTAAGAAAAAATTAGTCCAAAAAAAACGACGAAAGAAGAGGAAGTCGGTGACGGCGCAGACAACAGCCACGACAACTACGACATCTCTGATTCCCCCGGTCATAGCCGAGAGTTCCGTTACGGAGAACGACATCAGCAACCCGAGAGATGAATGTTCCCCGGTGGAAGAGAAGAAGGGCGCCGCAGACGTTGTCATCAAAGTCAATCCAAAGAGTGGAAGTCAAATCTACCAATTTATCGAAGAGAAACAAAAGATTTCTTTATCGAAGGAGCGTCGAGCAGCCCGAACTCTGGGGATCATCATGGGTTCCTTCGTTGTGTGTTGGCTTCCCTTCTTCCTCATGTACGTCATCCTACCCTTCTGTCCATCGTGTCCTCAGCCCAACAATAAGGTGATCAACTTTATTGTGTGGTTGGGGTACATTAACTCATCTCTCAACCCCGTGATATACACCATTTTCAACATGGATTTCCGAAGAGCTTTCGCCAGAATCCTGAGATGTCCCAACGCTGCCACAATATAACTTAATACATCATCCTCTTCATCCTGGACTTCCACAAACATTTCCTACACTGACAATGTGAACTGAAGTTGTCGCAGTCTATAGGCTAGGCATGAACTTCTGACACTTGCGTAGCAGTGATATAGACTATAGAAAGGTCGGCTAGAAGGCCTTGAATTGTGCTACAATAAACGAGAAATTATATCAAAAGGTAATTTAAAATATAATGAAAACTTTACTGAACCTTCAGTGGAGAATATTGTTATTGTTGTCAAAGTTTCAACATAATGTAGAGAACAGAATCCTCACATCACTCATCAACACCACTGAAAGTATTAGATTACCTGATCTGTCAGCATGTGTATTAAACCGGCTGCCTAAACTAGGAGTCAGAGGTGCTGGTGAAGTCATGAGGCAAATCTCACCAGTGTGTTTGTATATATATATATATATATATATATATACACAATGTATAATCCTGTGTATATAGTGAATAATCCGTGGAAGAAGAAAATAGGAGATACCTTCAGACTAGTTCAGAGAACTCTACAACAACATTATTTTTCTAGAGCGTTATTGGTGGAAATAAGATGATGATGTTCTCTCCTTCTTTCCATCACTTTCACTAATTTGAAACAGTTACTTCAGAACAGCTACTTGGCAGTGATGCTGAATAAATGTGCTCATTATCTCCTATTGTTAATTTCTGACTGTCAGCATTATATTATATTATATATATATATATATATATATATATATATATATATATATATATATAACGATGGGGATATACAAAAACAAACACACTATCCAATGACAGGGAGAGAATATATACGCTTCGTTTATATGTACACAACACGACTGAGCTTATTTCCTTCTCTATATAGTTAAAAGAGAATGCAAAAAAGACTTTTGTATGGCATTTCATCAAAATCTTAATACTTGCCTTCAAACACACACACATTATATATATATATATATATATATATATATATATATATATATATATATATATATATATATATATATATATATATGAGAACCACATCTGGTGTAAAATTAACAGAAGTGCAGTGGCACACTAGTCAACTGATGTAACAAGAAAAGCCAATCCGAAAACCAATGGAAAGAAACACTAAATAATTCGATCCCAGTTTGAAGAGAGAAATATTCAGCAATATTTTCAAGCATTTTTCGAATCTGTATTTTTTAAAATTACATTATTTTATATTTTATACATATCATATAACATGTAAGCGTGGAGTGTCATTTATATTTATGAGAAATACCTGTAAGTGATAAAATGCATTGTTGAAGTAAACACTCAGTATTGTCGATTCAAAGTAGACAGAGCTTCTAAATAGAGCCTAACAGCTGGACTGTTAATCTTAGCTTGTATGTAACGAAGTGGTTTGCGACGAGTACCTTTAGCACAGCCGAGACTTCGGGGATAGGTGGGGAGGGAATAATGGACAGGAAGGAATGGTGGGAGTACGATGGAAGGGGAGTGTTTAGGACTGATGGAATGGATAGGATGAGAGGAAATGGAGAAATTCGAATGGGGAAGGGTATTAAATGGATGAAAGGAGGGCTTTAAATTCGTGAAGGGAGGGGTTTTAAATTAGTGAGAGGAGGGTACTAAATGGATGAAAAAGAGAGCTTTAAATAGGTGAAAGGAATGCTTTAAATGGGCGAAGGGATCCCTTTAAATGGGTTGTAAGGGGAGGGCTTTATATGCTTGAAAAGAGGGATTGAAACTGGTAATGTAAGGATGACTTTAAATATGTATAGTGGAGGCTTTAAACATGTGAAGGCAGGCTTTCAATGATGAGAGAAGTCAGGGCATTAGATGGAGATGATTGCTATTAGTGATAAGAGAGGGAGGAATGGAGAAAATTGGATGGAGAGGGATATAGAGAATTGAAGGAGAGGGGTAGAGAGGGGACTGAGATTTGATTAGAAGTTTACGGGAGTAAACAAAGGCAGCAGTTCTCCCACGACTCTCAAGCACTGGGTTAACACACACTCACGTTCATTATAGTGAGCTGAGAGCAGGTGACCTTCCCTCACTGCTGCTCAGTGTTCATTCATCTCTCGTTGCAAACACCTGTCTATTGTGCACACATTATGTGGTGTGTGTGTGTGTGTGTGTGTGTGTGTGTGTGTGTGTGTGTGTGTGTGTGTGTGTGTGAACAAGCGTGTTTTGTAATGTATGAAAGCTGCGTGCTGAACCCAAGTACATACATGTATGCGCTTCCTGTTTGTGCTTTTGAGTGTGTGCATGGAATGCTCCGGCGGATAAGCCTATTGCTGTCCGGCTGATGCATCGACTCAAATAACTAAGGTAATGGAACTGTACATAGCCTTTAAAGGGGGAATAACCCAGAGTATTGGCGCGGGTAACTAGCATATCAACACACTGGTGAAGGTGGACCAAGTTCTTCAAGGTCAGAGTGGATAAGCTCGAGTTCTCTCGAGTGAGTACTTTGGCCTCAAATATTGATGACCGCACCAAGAGAGTCTGGCTTCCTCCCGAGGACCAAATATTGACCTTCGAGGGATAATCTACCTAAGCACCTTCCTCTGTCTATTGGACTTGCTCTTTCTCCTATTACTTTTGTCCGGAGTAGAGGGATTGGCTCCCCAAACTGAGCCCCTAATCGGGGAACCAACCCCTCTGACATAACAATTGACTCCACCAAATTTCTCCTTGTAAAAGACGCCTGTAATTATATATGTTACCTAAATATAATCGTTATGGAACCCAGGTTAGTTTCTCTCACCTCATTATCCATCTCGCTTGATCAAGATACTTGGGCTCTGACTTCAGTTATTATCTCGAATTTCAAAATCAAACAAAGGATAAATCCACAAGGGCCGTGACGAGGATTCGAACCTACGTCCGAGAGCATCCCAGACGCTGCCTTATTCTGGTAAGATTAATTTTAACCAAGTTCAGTAGAACTTCTGGTTGCAATTCTTTTGACCATGTCGTACCTCAGTCGATTTTGGCAGCGTCTGGGATGCTCTCGGACTTAGGTTCGAATCCTCGTCACGGCCCCTTGTATATTTGTTCATTTGATGCATCACGGTATGCAGGCGATGAGTCACAATAACGTGGCTAAAGTATGTTGACCAGATCACACACTAAAAGGTGAAGGGACGACAACGTTTCGGTCCGTCCTGGACCATTCTCAAGTCGATTGTGAGAATGGTCCAGGACGGACCGAAACGTCGTCGTCCCTTCACCTTCTAGTATGTGGTCTGGTCAACACCACGGTATTATGATTTCTGTGTGTAAACAAAGGATATAATCGTCGCTTTACGAGAAAATATTGATGTTATCATGATGACTTTTGAGGGAGGGAACAATACCATGCAGGTTGCTAGCTTCATAACTGTCAATGTCTGATTCCTGTGTGTATGTATTTACTAGTTGTAAATACTATTTGTGTCTGCAGAATCAAGCTATTTAGCTCTTGGACCCCACCTTTCTATCCAATCAATTTTTCCTCTATTATATTTACTACATATATTTCTCTCTAATATACGCGCACACGCACACGCACACACACACACACACACACCCACACACACACACCCACACACACACACCCACACACACACACCCACACACACACACCCACACACACACACCCACACACACACACCCACACACACACACACACACACACATCAGCCAAAACCTTCTCTAGGTCTTTAAATTATGTGATTAAAGAAAAGCTTAACTGTTTGTTAATTAATCAGAGCCGTCCATGCGCTAAAGCACAAGCTGTCTTTTGAAGTAAAATACTGGATTTTTGGAGCTATGATCCCCCCAACGAACAAAATACGGAGTTCTATGAAAAGTAACAGCTCAAAAAACCTCCATGATTGTGGTGCGTTGGTTAGCCGGCATGGCAGTAAAGTTATTATGAATAGATATGTTATCTGATTGTGGTCTCGGTGCGGGAACTGCTCCGAGAACTCAATTCTCTGCAATTCTTATCTCAATTCTTATCTTGGGTTCTTCGTCTTTCAGTACTTCTAGAATACCATGATTCTTTCGCACCTTGTTTTCTGTAATTTTCTCGCTACTTTATAATCCTTCACTCGAGGGTGTCCTGTGTTACTCCTGACTGATTTAATAAAAGTTTGGTAGAAAAATTTTCAGGGCGTGTTTTGTTTCTCTGTTTCATTACACATTTCCTTGTCATTTTCAGTTTAGTTTCCTTCCATGACGGTCTCGCTTCATGCATGTCGGCGTTCAATCCCCGACCGTCCAAGTGGTTGGGCGCCATTCCTTCCCCCCGTCCCATCCCAAATCCTTATCCTGACCCCTTCCCAGTGCTATATAGTCGTAATGGCTTGGTGCTTCCCCCCTGATAATTAATTTACCTTCCTTCGATGTGGTCTAATTATCTGATTATAGACATTTTTCTTCTAATGTGACTTATGTATCTCTCGATAGTTTATTGTCGTATTGCTTACCCTTTCCATCTCTCCCTTTCCATCTCTCCCATTCCTTCCCTCTTTACTACTTCCCTCATCCTTTCTGACCCCCCCCCCCTACCCCGTGCTCTTGGCTTTCCCCCTCCCTTCTCCCTTGGGTAAAATTTCTCACTGCTCCCAACTCTGCTCAGCTCCACTTCTGACAGTTGGTGTGTTTCTCTCTTATAAATGACCCACAATCAACTGAGAAAGAATACATTCCTAAACATAAAATTACTTCAATTTGGTAATTGAGCCACATAAAATATTTAATTGGATGCAAATATTACAGCAGATTCCCTTTCTTGTATTGAGAGACACGAGTGAAATTTTTGTTTTTCGTTTTGCAAAGATGTTTAGCTTCTGTGTGTGGGTCTAGATCGAGCCCAATGCAATTAATGGGAGTGAGAATCATGGGGATCATACCCTTAAGCACAATGCCACACCGTTGAAAATATGGCTACAATTATTTAAATGTAATTTACATGTAATCGATTGTCATAGTTCTTTTATATCCCAGAGACTCTTGGGGTCAGGCTGGTCTTCTCATAATCTGATCTGAAAGGCTGTTGTTTGGAACTGTTCGCAGAGCCCTATATATATATATATATATCCGGTACAGCTCGCCTGATCCGGCTCTCCGATCAAACTTGATCAGAACTAAATAACGGAACATTTCAGAAAACACACAGTTCCAAAAATGGTACAGGTCCTGACTACTTGAATTCAAGATTAAATTACATTCTAGATACAATTACAGTTCCACTCAGAAATGCAGCCGAGTGCCACACAGTAATACAATAGCACCACACAGATAAAAACTTGCAAGACACACACACACACACACACACACACGCACAAACACACACACGCACACACACGCACAATTTAGAGTTTATTAGGTTCCACTCATTGTAGTGGAACATGAGCTACCCTTTGTAGTACCTGCTGAAGAGATTTCTCCAAGAGACATATTCAATCAAGTTAGCTGTAGGAGCATCTCAATATAGAGAGTTTCTTTGATATGAAATTCCTTCACATAATTGCAACAGATCTCTGTAATTGCAACCGTTACGCAAACACTGCAACACAAAGAGCATATAGAGAATAATAAGACTTAATTACACCCCCTAATTCTCTGTTTCAATATCAGTATTATTATTATTACTCACAAAAGCTCATGCCAAACCCACTTACTACCTCCTGAATTATGAGGGAATTATCAGGGGGAAAGAAAGTGCAGAATTATGAGCTGCTGCCT